CTCGTCATCAGGGGGAGGGAGAGGACGAGGGGGAATGGGGTTAAATGGACAGAGGGGAGATGTAGATGAGATCTGAGGCAGAAATTGTTCCCCGTGAGGGGGGTGAGGCCCTGGCACAGGCTGCCCAGAGAAGCTGTGGCTGCCCCCTCCCTGGCAGGGTTCAAGGCCAGGCTGGACGGGGCTTTGGGCAGCCTGGGCTGGGGGAAGGTGGCCCTGCCTGGGGCAGGGGGTGGCACTGGATGGGATTTAAGGTCCCTTCCAGCCCAGACCATTTGATGATTCTATGGACCTCAGCCTACTCCCTCCTCTCCAAGGGGGCTCCGGCTCTGTCTCCTCAGCTGCACTATCACCTGCTGCAGAGGTTTTTTGGTCCCCTCAGGAAAACGACCCCCAGCCCACATCAGCCTGGGCACTCCATGTCCCAGGGGCCGGGGCCAGCCACAGCCACGTACCTGCTGGGTCTCACCAGCCAAGCGAGCGCGGCAGAGAGGAGCAGCCCACAGCTCCCCGCGGCCTCACCTGGAACGTGCACGAGCGCAGCTGCAAACCCTCCTGGATGAACTGATCCACCTGGGCCTGGATATTGATCTTCTTCTCTTTGGTCAGCGAGGCGATGGGGAAGGATCGGATCACCACCTGCTCCCCCACTGCACACAAACACGGCAACGGGTCAGCCACAGCCCAGCACGGGGCCAGGCCACCACTCAGAGAGCCCCGGAGGGCAACGTGGCCACCAGCAGGCTAGAGGTGGCCCACGGCGATTTGTAGATGATGCCTGGGATGGGCACGAGTAATTTATCGTCTACCAAAGGGGGAAAACAAGAGCAACCACCCCTTTCGTAGTACCAGGAGCAAGCCCCCAGCAAGGCCCAGTACTGGCCCAGTTCCTGGCTGGTTGCTCACCCCAGGTAACCCCCCGAGGCCTTTATCAGCAGCTCCTGCAGCCAGGCGAGCCATGGCCACTGCTCCCAGAGAGCTACTGGCCCCTCCTCCCCAGACACGACCACCCCTGAAGAGAGAAGAGGTGGTGGCCGCCGGCCCCTTACCCAGGGGGTCCGTGGGGGTGCCTTTGAAGATGATGCGGTACGTGGTGAGGAAGATGGCTCCTTCCGCGGGGAGCAGCGGCGGGCCGCCAACAGTCCCTCCGGCAGCCTCCTCCCGCCCGTCGGGCATGAGGTACACGCGGAGCCCCTCCATCACACACTCCTCACCCACCAACAGGTTGGGGCGCAGCAGCTTTGGCTATGGGGATGGTACAAGAGGCAGTTCAGGCCCCGGCAGACTGGGGATGGGGGCTTGAGAACCCCCCCCCCGCACCAGAACCGTCCCCTGCTGCCACAGGGAGGCTCCGTACCTTCTGGATGGGAGGAAGCCTCTTGCTCTCCCTGTGCACGGCATCCAGCGTCTCGATGTGCATCTGCACAATGTCTGCGGGCAAACACGGCCTTAGAGACTGGGAGCAGAGTCCTGCCCTGCACAGCACCCAGCGGGCGTCAGCCTGCCCCAGAGCTCCCCACTGCTCCTGAGAACCTCTCCAGAGCAGAGCCCGGCTCCGGGAGGATCCCCAGCGAGATGGCATAGCTGCCTGCTCCCCAGCACAGCTGCAATGTGTCACTGAACCCCAGAACCATCCGGGTTGGAAAAGCCCCTGCAGCTCCTCCAGCCCCACCATGACCCTCCCCCTGACCGTTCCCAACTCCCCCAGACCCCTCAGCGCTGGCTCAGCCCGACTCTTCAACCCCTCCAGGGATCCCGGGGACTCCCCCCTGCCCTGGGCAGCCCATTCCCCGAGCCCAGGGCTCAGATCCCTTCCCTGTCCCTGCTGGCCACGCCAGGGCTGACACCAGCCAGGATGCCGTTGCCCTCCTTGGCCCCCTGGGCACACTCTGGCTCATTCTCACCCCCCAGTCCCTCTCTGACCAGCCGCTCTCCAGCCACCCCTCCCCAGGCCTGTAGCCCTGCTGGGGGTTGTTGTGGCCCAAGGGCAGCCCCTGGCATTTGCCCTCAGTGAAACCCCCCCAGTTGGGCTCAGCCCATGGCTCCAGCCTGCCCAGGTCTCTCTGCAGAGCCTCCCTGCCCTCGAGCAGACCAACACTCCCACCCAACCGGGTGCCCTCTGCAAACTCACTGAGGGTGCCCTCGATCCCCTCACCCAGATCATCAATAGAGATGTTAAACGGGAGTGGCCCCAGCACCCAGCCCTGGGGACACCATTTGTGATCGGCCGCCAACTGGATTTAACTCCCTTCACCACAACTCTGGGCTCAACCATCCAGACAGTTTTTACCCAGCGAGGCCTGTGCCCATCCAAGCTGCGAGCAGCCAGTTTCGCCAGGAGAATGCTGTGGGAAATGGTGTCAAAGGCCTCTTACCAGGGATCATGACATGCAGCCCCTTGAGGTGCTCGTTGGTGACCCCGCTCTCCGTGCAGACTTTGTCCACGAAGCGGTTGATGAATCGCACCACGTAGTTGGCCACGTCAGAACTCTCGGCATCCTCAAACCCACTTTCCGTGTCGTAGCTCTCAGCCACGCTGCCAGCGATGCTGCCGGACGGGAGTAGGGAAGAGTCAACCCAGAGCACCGCTCCTCTGCTTTGAGAGGCAGAGCCCAGGGGAGCTTCTACTCTTGACAGGAACCCAGGAGAGGTTCTGCTCTCGCTGCCGAACACTCCTGCAACCGCATCAATCCTGACGGCAGCTGCACGCCCCCGCTGCCCCAGGCACCCCAGGGAGCTCTGGCCTCCCCACGGCACGGCCCGGCCTCCCCGCCCCGCTGACCTGTTGGTGACGAAACTGTTGCTGACACTCTCCACGTCCCCCAGCCCGGAGCTGCGCAGCAGCCGGTTCTTGCTGGTGTCGAGGGGCAGCAGCAGGTAGCTCATGCGGTTGGCGTAGTGGATGGCCTGGCTGAAGACAGTGCTCTCCTCCTTCTGGATCAGCTCCTGCTGCTTCTCTCGGCTCATGGTGGGCCAGAGCCTCAGCTGCTCCGACGCTATCTCCAGGGCAGACCTGGCTTCCTGCGGCCCCTCTGTGCTCTCCTGAAGGAGTCAGAAGGAGACATCGGGCACCGCACAGGCAGGAGACCCGCCCGCCTTCACCCCGGTTCCCACGGGGATCTCCCCAACCGGGACGCCGTCCCTCAGCCTGGCTCCGCAGCCCTCTCGGGGCCTGTGGGGAGAGCGGCAGCCCTCCAGGGACACCGTCACCATTGCCACCTCCTCACCTCATCCGTGTGGTTCTCCTCGCTGTTGTCCAGGTACAAGGCTCGGATGTGGTTCTGCACGTCGCAGTAGAACATGGCCTCCCAGAACTGGATGTTGGTCCACACCACATGCTCCTGCACGCAGCTGTAGGCAAACTGGGTGATGCCCGGGCTCAGTTTCTGAGGAAGCAGAAGGTGGAAGAGTTTCACACAAACACGGCCTCTGTGCCAAGCTCTCCTCTCCCTCCTGAAAAGGCAACAGCCCCTTGGCCAGGCAGGAGGGACACTTGCATCAGAATCCCTCCAGGCAAACTTCTGGGGTTCACCCAGCACCTGCCCAGAGCCTCCCCCAGGCTTCAGGCTGCAGGTGCTTTAAGGGAGGTGGAATTTTATGGCAGCTCGACTCAACCAAGAGATCAAGCTGGTGCTTCCGAGCAGCCCCAGTTCCCGTGCACCCTTCCCGCGGGTGTTCCAGCCCCCCGGGAGCCTCGGGCCAGCGGTCGGACAGTACCGGGCAGGGCCCGCACCGAGGGGAGTCTGTCCCGGGCCTGGCTGAGCGCTGGCTCTCGGTCCCTGCGCAGCCTCCAAGGGCTTCCGAGTGGGCGCGGGCCGTGAGGGGGGCGGGACGCAGCCGGTACTCACTCGGCAGAAAGCGGTGACCAGCGGCAAGAGCGCGGCTGCGATCCCGTGCTCGTCCATGGCAGTGCAGTCCTGGGCAAAGAGCGGCGGTGAGAGGATTCGCCACAGACCCCCAGGCCCGCTCCGATCCCTGCACCACGCGAGGGGAGACGGGCTCCTTGCCAAGAAAGGCCCTCGCAAGCCCCCTCCTACCTGCAAGCAGCAGTTCATCATGCGGATGATGAAATCAAACTGCTGGTGGTCCAGCACTGCCCGGTTCTGCTGCACATGCAGGTTCAGCTCCTGGGTCAGGCAGTGCCGGGCCGCTCGGCCCTTCATGGCGCGCAGCACAGCGGGGAACAACTGCGGAGGAAAGAAAAAGTCACCCAGGAGAAAGAGGGGGCCTGGGGGAGCTCGGGTCAGACGGTGAGGTCAGGGGCAGCCCACAGCGAGGAGGAGCTTCGCGCTCGGGCTGACCCTGGGGTGCTGGTGACGGTGCAGCCGCACTCCGACGCGGAGGCAAACCAGAGCAGAACCCCTGTCTGGGCAGCAGGAGCAGAGCCCGGGGAGGGCCCCCAGCCCCGTTATCTCCATGGGACAAACCCCGGGGGGGCACTGGGAAATGCAGAAATAGGGCTGATCTGGTGCAATGGAGCGATTGGCCGAAAGTCCCGGGACACAGCTCGGAGGAGCCACGCTGAGAGGGGAACACGTGAACCAATGGCACAGGGGATGTTCTCCCCAGTCAGCCACGGAGAGGCAGAGAAACCCCCCTGCCCTCCCCTCAACCGCCAGCTCCTCAGGGACCCCCTCCCTCACCTTTTTGGCTTCTAACATCTTGTTCTCAAATACGTAGGAGATGCAGTTCCTGACCACCTCCAGGCGCCGGGCACTGTTGGCCAGGGCATTGCCGTTGCGCTCCATGATGGCAGCTGGGGAGAGAATCGCCCCTTAGTTGAGTCAGGGCAGGACTTTCACCCCTGGGTGGGGGGAGATGGGTGCCCCCTCCCCTGCTCTGCCTGGGCAGGGCTCTAGACCCTGAGAACTGGTGTGGGAGGAATAACCACGGGGGCTTCGGCCACCCCCTCGTGCTGGCGGACAGAGCTCAGGGAGCTCCACCAGCCCAGGCTAAGGGCAGCAGCTGCTTCTGCAAGGCACATTTTGCTCAGGCAGGACCCTCGGACATGCCGAAGCGTGAAAGAGAACCAGCAACCCCCCAGTAAAGCCGCTCCTGAGCTGGGTTTCCCACGGCAGGGAACGGCCCTCGGCACACCCGTACCGATGGGGGGTCCCGAGGGCACCATGCACTTCTTCTCTGCCTTCACGGCCGGAGGAGCCGTCTGCAGCTTGGCAGTGGCCTGGTCGATGATCCACTGCACCGTCCCCTCATCCAAACGGGGAAAAGGCTTCTGGTGGAGGCGCAGGTGACAGCCTTCCGTGGGCTTCTGCACCTTGTGCATGGTCACCGCGGGGTACGGGTTCTCCTGGCACAGCAAAGATAGTTTCTTTTCAGGTGTGGGGACATCACGCGCCCTCTCCCAGGGCGGGAGCCCCAGCAAGCCATCCTGCAGCAACCTCTGGGCCAAACCCCCTCCCAGCTGGTATCTTACAACCCCCAGAAGCCCTCTGCAACTCCCTGCCAGGAGGGGGCAGAGAGGGGGGATGAGTCTCTGGAGCCAAGGAGCCAGCGCTAGGCCCCGAGGGAATGGCCTCAAGCTGCCCAGGGCAGGGTCAGGCTGGCTCTGAGGAAGGATTTCTGTGCAGAAGGGGCTGTTGGGCGTTGGAATGGGCTGCCCAGGGCAGGGGGGAGTCCCCGGGATCCCTGGAGGGGTTGGAGAGTCGGGCTGAGCCAGCGCTGAGGGATCTGGGGGAGTTGGGAACGGTCAGGGGGAGGGTCATGGTGGGGCTGGAGGAGCTGCAGGGGCTTTTCCAACCCAGATGGTGCTGGGGTTCTGTGAAAGGTGTGGAGTGCCTGGTGCCCAGGCCACCTGAATCCGAGGAATCTCACTCCTGGGAGCGGCTCATGCCAGGCCAGGCCCCTCTGGGCCCATCAGCAGGTTTCCTGCCGCATGTGACAGTGCAGGTGGGACAGGACCGAGCACCACAAGCACCCGTTCCAGCACCTACCGGGGCTCGGTACCCGACCCTGAGCAGCTTCCCCCTCCTATGCTCAGGCCTCCAGGACTCACGTTTTTGTAAAGTTTCTCCGCCAGTTCCTTGATGTGCCGCAGTATTTTCTGCTTGTTCCCCTCTTCCGCGCGCATGCGCTTCACTTCATAAGCCACAAGCTGGGAGAAGAAGAGAGGGGTGAGAGGAGCAGCTGCCTGCTGGGCAGGACCCAGCCACCCCTCCCATCGCGGCAGCCCCGGGGGCGACACTGCAGTCGAGGGGGGATCACGTTAGATCCCCAGCTGCAGCCCTCGAGGGGCAGGGAGCGCTGCGCAGAGCAAGGCCACGCGGGATGGTCAGGCAGGGGGGTGCTGCCCCGAACTGCCGCTCACCTCGTCGAACAGGTCGATGGAGCGGTACGGGGCCCCCCGCTCGGTCACGAAGCCAGCGAACGCCATGCCCTCCAGCACCTTGGTGAGGAAGTCGTCCTCCGTCAGCCCCCGCTGCCCCAGGAAGGCTGCCTGGAGGAGGGGAGAGCACACACGCCGTCAGCAGCACCGCCCGGGCAACGCTCGTCCCCGCTGGCACAGCAGCGCGGCCGACACGGGTGCAAGAAACCTGCCCCGGGGGAAGCCGGGTCCCAACACATCCCTCACTCCCCGCTACAGGCGCTGGCCTCATCCTGAACAACGCCCAGCGGGGGAGCTGGACCAGCCCCTTTCCAGGGCAGAGAGCCGGCAGGCGCAGGGCTGGGTGCTGCACCGGAGCCCAGCCCGCTCAGTGCCGCGGCCCTCAGCCGCTGGGGGAGAGGCAGGGCTGCTGCTGCCCCCCCAGCACCTGAAAACGTGAAACTGAGGGTGGTCTGTGCCACGCGCGGGTGCTGCACAGGGTGGTTTTATGAAATGGAGGTTTGCTGGACTTTATTCATTTTATAGCAGTTTTAGGAAAGGGTGTTTTCTCATGTTTACTGCATGGTTATGACTTTATGGAACTAATGAATCCTGTCGGGAATCTTTACTGACCATAAAACTACAGCCCAAAGCCCCTCTGAGCTGCTGACTTCAAGACCAGAGCAGGTTTTGCAGCGCTGGCACCGCATGAGCCCGGGCTCACACCCACTCGCTACACGTTTTTGGGGTACAAAGCGCTGCCCCCCTGACCCCGCGTCGGGCTGGGCAGAGTGGGAAGGCTCCTGCCTGCCCGTCCTCGGCGGCCCTGAGCGCGCTGCGGGGAGGGCAGAGCCATGTGATGGGGCCACGCCAAGCTGCAGCGCTCGGGTCCCTCTGCTCTCGCTCCCTGGCTGCTGCCTTTTTTCCTGCGTGAGATCTCCTCCCGAGGATGCCCAAACGCTTCAAGCTTTTCCCAGCTCTCCCTCCTGGTGCAGCTAGCACTCCAAAGATGCTAGAATGTTAGGAGAATGCCCCGCCGCAGGCCAGGACGTGAGGGACACGTTCCATGAGCCTCCAAGGCTGCCCGAGGCCAGGGCCGCCAGCTGCGGCGCGTCCAACCGCACACGGCATCAACAGGGAAGCGCTGTCTGACCCACAAGACCTCGGGACAGCCAAGGACAAACAAGGGATGCAGGTGGACCCCGGAGCGATGCCGGAGAGCTTGCTGGATGGAAATACAGAACCGCAGATACAGCGACAGGAACAGGCTCCCCAGAGGCTCCCCCCCTTCCCCC